CAGAATTAGGCCACGCCTACCTATCAATTTGAATCGAATCAGGTTTGGGTTAAATTTGAGTCAAATTTGACTCTCAAAACACCGGTGACCTGTGCCCGAACACCAGGTAACCATGGCCAGATTTGCCCTAAGCATTTTGAAACATTCGGTTGACGCAGCCGAACAGTAGCCGACCTTGCCAAACACCATCCGACCGTACGATTCTTCCGACAAACTTATAAGAAATATGTAAGATGTACATGTATTATATCCACAAAGAACATCGACAAAAACTTTGTGGATTTGTTCTGTTCCTAGCAACATTCAGGCCTTCCGGGTGCTTCTACATGCACATTTAGCAGGCACTTTTTACTTAACCTTCATCATTTTTATGGAAGAAAGTTCGCCGCAGTAGGGATAGGCGCATTCAAAGGAGACATTACATATTCGTCACCGTTGTCGTTTGTGCCTAATGGATGAGAACCTCTCCCGGCCCACGCTCAAACGTGCTTCACATAAACCCGGGAACAGCGCAAGTGGCGTGCGTACACAACTTTGATTGAGACATTAAGGTCGTAAGTTGGGAGATTTGAAAATCAACCCATCTCCCGCAAAGTCAGGGTTTCAGAACGTCTACATTAGCGTTGAGGTCTTGATGCCGTTAAGCACGCTGGTACTTTGGTGTGGAATCCACCGGAGAGGCCGATGTGCACTGTTAGTATCCGCAAGTGAGTACTGATCAGCTTTTATGTGCACTTTTATGTTTCGTCTGCGGCATATGTAATTCAGAATAACAAAGCTTTCACCCCAACGAACTGGATACTTTTTTCTTTTTCTTTTCTCATTTTTGTCAGAATATTGCTTTTGGTATGCCTGTAGTGTGTGTGTGTGTGTGTGTGTGTGTGTGTGTGTGTGTCTGTGTGTGTGTCTGTGTGTGTGTGTGTGTGCGCGCGCGCGCGTGTATGTGAGTGAGAGAGAGAGAGAGAGAAAGAGACAGGGAGAGGGAGAGAGAAAGAGAGCTGTGTGTGTGTGTGTGTGTTTGCCTGTGTGTGATGTATGTATGCGTTTGTGTGTGTGTTTCTGTGTGTGTTTGCGTGTATGTGTGTGCCTGTGTATGTGTGTGTGTGCTGTGTGTGTTTGTGCGCGCGCGTGTGTGTGTCTGTCTGCGTGCGTGTGTGTGTGCGTGTTTGTGCTGTGTGTGTGTGTGTAATTGATTTGGTTGGTTTTAGTCTGTCCCAGAGGGAGAAAGTCATTAATCACTTCATGTGGTAAGTTCGCTGTTTTTGCAGATGTTTTTCTTTACATGGCCTCCTTGACAGCTGAAAGCTGACAGCTGGTGTTTTTCCCTTGCGCAATAAAGAAGAAGATTGCAAACGTGTTACGTTGCATCGGCAGTGTTCTATGAGCCCTTCTTGATTAGAAATTTTCAACCCCTCCTAAAAGTCGTGACTAAAGTTGTTAAATTCATGGTTTCTTAGATTTCTAAGGTCTCCGATTTTATTTTCAAACTGGAGATTGTTTAATGAGAAACCGTCCCGAAACATCTGCCACACAGTAGACAGTGCCCCTAAAATACATGGACCAGTAAATTTAAGTAAAGCAAGGTAACTCACGGGTGTTAGATCTGGATTTGTCACTAAAAGCTAAATTTTGATTATGAACTTTGATGCATAAATAAAAATTGGTACGACGTTGAAAAAGACCTTTGTTTAGCCCATTGCCAATGCAACATCTATAAGGGAGTTCGTGAGGTTGCAGTAATCGGTTTCTTTGAACATTTCAACATTCATTTACGTTGCAACCAAACATTTATTCTCCTCCACCCTCAATTCGATTGTACAAACATTATCGCTGAGCCGGTAAGGCGTTGTCAGAATATGTACCGTGAATTATGACAGATCTCTTGCCGAACCCTCTGACGCATTCGGGCGCGCCGTCGTCAAATATCAAGTCGTTATTCATGCTGCGTATTCGCGGTTGATCCGGAAGATCCAGTTTTATTGCATTAAGAGTAAGGTCAGCGGTAGTGCAAATCATCTAACCGTAATGGCTTTTGAGAAGTGCGTTCTGCCATGGAACGTGTTGTTTTTGATTCATTTACTAGTTGAGCTAGGAGATGACAAAAGCCTAGGCGATCGTCAAATGGATAATTGCTATTTTACTGGCGACTCTTGGGTTACTTATACGTTTCCTATTTAGCTTTTACCAACGCAAATGTACATGCACAGCGTCTCATCAAAATCACACTTGCTGTGTCCGCCTGTCTCTCTCATTAACGCTGGTACATGTGGCCGCCTGTGCTTGGCAAGGAATCTGGCTCGATAACGAGCAAGTTTAACAACATTTATAAAGCATTGCCATTGGGTAATGGTGAGGATACTATGTGAATTGCATTAAGAGTAAGGTCAGCGGTAGTGCAAATCATCTCACAGTAATGGCTTTTGAGAAGTGCGTTCTGCCATGGAACGTGTTGCTTTTGATTCATTTACTAGTTGAGCTAGGAGATGACAAAGGCCTAGGCGATTGTCAAATAGATAATTGCTATTTTACTGGCGACTCTTAGGTTACTTATACGTTTCCTATTTAGATTTTACCAACGCAAATGTACATGCACAATCAAAATCACACTTGCTGTGTCCGCCTGTCTCTCTCATTAACGCTGGTACATGTGGCTGCCTATGCTTGGCAAGGAATCTGCCTCGATATAACGAGCAAGTTTAACAACATTTAGAAAGCATCGGGTAATGGTGAGGATACTATGTGAATTGTTAATCATATACACTTTTCTGGCCTTGTACTTATGGGGAGGGGGCAAGCATGTGCTAACTCACTTGTCTGTTTCGGGCAGTTCCATCATCTATTGCCGCCTACTAGAGGAAACAATAGTGGCCGTATACCTGTATAACTCGATCATTAAACAAACTCAATATAATATGGCAAACTGTACATCACATGAACAGTGCTTTACCATACATGATATCGAAATGTAATGAAACTTTACGTCGATGGAGGTTAGACATCTAGGTAATAAGATACGCCAAAAACAGTTACTGAAGCAACTGGATATGATTTTGGAAACGGTAAGATGTTTCAGGTAGCATCCACTTCTTTTCGTACACGAAGAGACTGCAGGAGAACTGCAGGTTTATAAGCACGAACTATTGATTGATATGAAACTTTATATTACATTGGCCTTGACTATATGTTTCGCCTGACAAATAGCCTTGATAGCTACGTTGACAAGGTTTTTATATGGCCGTTACGGTAACAATCTTCTATATTTTATTTGATATAATGGCATTTACTGCATGGATTTTTATTTGTAAATCTGTCTCTATTTCAATGTATTATATTGTGCCGATGCAATTTAGCCGTTCTTGCTCCCATGTATATATGCGACAATGTCCTTTGAAATAAACAATTCATAGACATGGATTTTGGAAACATATACGAACCTTTGAAACATGCGCATGAACACACGACCTCTGCAGATTTAATTATGCTTTTGCCTTGACTAGTTTAGTGACGGGTATTTCTCCCACACCAACACACACTACCAGGTACTAAACTTTATTGCTTTTGCCAGGAAGTGACCATTATATTACCATACTCGTTAAGGCTTTATCATGTAGGGTAGAAGCAAAGGAATGAGTAACGACTGTTTGCAATGAATAAGGGGTATAACAACACCCTAGGTACGTTCGCTCAAGATTTCCCCCAGTATCATAGGACTTTTATTGTTCCCACTTTGGCAATACATTTCTAAATTGTAATCAGAACCCGAAGCTGTGCTAGCAGGTACGGGTAATACAAGGATTACTACACGTACAAGGAACCGTAAACGAGCTCACAATTAGATACGAAGCCGTTAAAACCGGTGCCAATTACACAAGCATTCGTTTCAAAACAGAGGTGTTTTTGTCGTCCGGCGGTGCCTCTTATAGGGACAAGCGTTGGCTTCACATAAAGGTTTGTGGGTTTGTTTTTTTTCAATCGAATTTGCTCTATTCAACCATCATCATACATGTTGTGTTGGGAGAACAATTTCTGCTTCTGCTATCATACCATGGCTACTGTTGCAAGCGTGTTAAGTTGAGTACTTGATGTGAGAATTTAGAATATATTACTAATAGATACCATTGGCACGATCCATGAAAAACATAAAAAGCCTTAGCATAAAAGTTAATCTGTGCTGGTCCAATTCATTATAAAATACAACTGCCAACACTATAATGAATTGGGACTTACCACAAATTTTCGTGTCAGAGACACGTGATCGTAGTATCGGGCCATGCATGCCAGATAACCTGTGTCGCCCCCCGTCTCTGGCATGTATGACCCGCTACTACGTACGGTCATGTATCTCTGATGTCACGTTTTAAAAGTAGGCAGGTCCATTCCGTGAACAAGGTTGACGGAGAGTCAGCCTAAAATCTAGGGTAAGTCCCAATTCAATGTAGTTTTGGCAGAGAAAGTTGAGTCTTTTATTTGATAATAAGTCTTGCCATGACAAACCGGACCAGGGGCTAGAGTACGTCAGAGCAAATGTTCCTTGACTCTGACCGAATAACACTACGTCTTCATGACTTACTAACTTTCAATTCCTGAGCATCGATCATTTCCTGTACCTGATGTGTTAAGCCATGACTTTTACCGCAGCTCTGCATGTCTGACAGGGCGTTTGACGGATAGACTCTTTCTTTTACACAGTAAATTGGAATCACGCCATGCTGTAGTATTGTATACAAGTCAAAGTTCCAAGTTTAGCCTTTTGTGTGAAGTAAAGAATAATGATCCAATAACGGTAGCATGATATTTGAGACCAAATCACATATACATGACTATATTGCTATCGATATTATTTTGTAGTTATATCTAGTTTAGTTTTGTAGTATTGTTGATTTAGTGCCATACATTGTCGAGAACAAGTTGCCATATTCATATTCTCGTATCTTTTATACTTTGACGTCTTTATTTAGCTCTAGTGTTCATTTTTTTTACCAGGGGAGTGAAAATCGTTCAGCACCATGAAGACATCACTTCCTTATAAGTGCTGAGACATGGTAAGTAATCTTGTTTTTATCTCACTATCTCTAACTACTACAACACAGTCGTATCAACACGTTTAGTATCAAGATCGTTCAATATAGGCTCGGTCACACATTCACGAATTTGGTCTCCTGAACACTAGCCGATTGTCCCCAAATATGGTTAAGAGCTGGGTGGGCTATTATTCGGCTGCGTCAGTCAAATGTTTCAAACTTTTTCAAATATTGGTGTTTTTTTTGGGGGGGGAGGTATATATTCGGTTGTATGTCAGTAGAATTCAAGCCAACGACTGAAGAGTACATTAGCAGTGCTCGGTGTTTATTCTTGGGTCAAATATGATTCAAATTTAACTCAAATTAGTTTCCATACGTAATAAAAGAGGGGAATTCGGTCAGACTGCCCCCCGAACGTCAGCCAAGTCGGGTCCTAATTTCCAGGAAAGGTTGTGAATGTGTGACTTATTGATGAATAGTAAAGAAAATTCATATCCTATATTTAATCTCACCGTCCTGGTGAAGATGACAGACTGTCATCGAAACGTCATGTCTTGTTGAATGAGTGACTATGGATAAGAAAATCCAATTAACCATTTATCAACCTTATGAAATTATTTACGGAACTTCCGTATTATTCAGCTGTCCTTAAAAAGCCTGCATCTTCAACAGTGTAGGTTTATGTCACAGAATTCGTCATGCATGTCATAATGAAAGCAAAAATAAGGAACAAGCTCCATAAACATTTAACTTATCCTAACTACATCTGATGTTTACTTTCCCTTCAAGGCCGAGAAACTGACAGAAGACCAAATTGTCGGTAAGTACACCAATAACCTTAATTCAACGTGCCACTGAGATAAATAAAAAATCAATACGTGCATTTGAAATTGATTCCAAGTGACTTTAAGTGCTTATTTTCGGTTTATGAATATCTACCGAGCGGAAATTGTGATTGCCCTTTCGCACAAGATCTAAATGGTAAACATTGACATCATATTCCTCGCTTTCTTTAAAAGCCACTTAAACGCATAAAAGATCATCTCACTGCTTCTGTTTTCGTGTCACCAAGTAATTACTAAATCCAACCAATAGACCAATCATCCAATTGAATTATGTTCAAAGCCAATTTTTGCTCGTTGTTTTAATGCAGTAAATTGCATCAACAATATCATATATTTTACTGATATTTGTGAGGCAAAATTGTGATGTCGCCGACGGAAATTGCTTGTTCCGCATATTGTAGGCAATTGCTAGATATTTAAATCGTTGTTTCTTACCAAAACAGAAGAAACTCCTCGCGTAGCTTGGTGGTATTTGGAGAATTTCAAACGGTTAAGGAATTAAATAATGACAAAAATGTGCCAAGAATGGTCCAAAATACCAAATTAGACAGACCTTCTCATCCAGTATTGTATCGTCCTGAAATTGCATTACCTTGCAATTATATTTAAGTATAAACTTTCCCAGCCAAATTTGGATCAAATAAAATATATTTTTTTTGTCAAAGACTAAGTATTGTTTTTATAGCTATAATAATCCGGAATTGTTATGTTGTCATGTATTTATGTACCCCGAAGCTGCTGTATGCTTTTACGTGATTTGGAATTTTAAGCATGACATGATGATGTACAGTTTTATTTGAAAGGCCATGCGTACCACCCATAACGTAAGCATCGCAGATATGAGATGGTGGCTACTTGCATAAGAAGGTCCATATTAACTTCACATAAAGAGCCTTAAAAATATTGGTTAGACGTATAATGGCTTATGAATTTGATGTTTGTTTTCTGTTAGCGAGGTGATTTTGCCGTTCTGCTTGCTAGCTTTTCCGTGATTTGACTAAGAAGCTGTGACAATAATTGTGATCATAAAGATCATAACTTATCGAATATCCCGACAAATCATAGCTGCGTGAAATTGTATTAACTAGATTACGCCGTATGAATAAAAACCGCATCTAATCTAATGATAAGTCATTCTTGATTTCTTTATTATGTTTACGGCGGGAAAACATATTGTTTTGCTCTGTTTCCTCCTCTTCTTCTTCTCCAAACTAATACGGTCAATGACCTGAACCAGACAGTCTATCACCATGGTAACTAGTATTGGGCAACATCATGTTGCAATTTTAAAGCAGGAGGGATTTAGACTTCAAGCTGCCTTCCAACTCAGTCAAAGCCTTCTCGGTGGCCGCTGAAAAAAAGATCAACGTTTGAAAGTCGGTTTTAGTACTGTTATCGTTGGTACATGTATTATCGTAATCAGCCTGGATTTAATACGTTTTCAATCCATTATATTTATCTTTATATTCAATCCGTAACTTTTATAAATTTGTTGTATAATTATAACTTTTAACGTTTAGTAATAATTGTACAAGTTTGTGATAATGTATGTATGTACTGTCACCATAATTCAGTCTTAGGACTGCAAGTGTGACATATGTGAGAGAAATGTCAAATAAACCGTTCTTATTATTATATTGCAAGCGCATTGGGTTACTAACATTGGTATGTTTCCTACTATGTACATAGTTGTAAACGTAACTCTCTACCGTTTTTGACGTCCCAACAGAGTTGAGAGAAGCTTTTTGTGCCGTGGACCGTGACAACGATGGCACCATAACCATCAAGGAGCTGGGTACACTCATGCGGTCCCTGGGACAGAACCCTACCGAGAATGAGATGGAGGATATCTCAAACGACGTTGACCCTGACGGTACCTAATAGTGGTCTTTATACACACACTCAGATTCCCACTGGAACCCTATCCATTAGACACGGCTATGTCGTTCTTTGATATAGGAACTGTCTTTAAACTTGTTCTAAAGTTACCCCTGAAGGAGTTCAATGACCTTCAAAGGAGTATTATTGCCCTTTTATGGACCCTCTTGCTCTGAGGAAGGTGTCTGACAGACATCGAACGTAAACATGTGAGAGACATTACTGATTCTGTAAAAAAAACCCGCATAATTAAAAAATGCAGAAATACTGTAAACAACTTTGTTGAAACAACGTTGCAGGAAAACGGTAAGCTGTCCTCTGATATCCTTTTCTTTCATGGTTCAAGCGGAATTTCACGAGTAGATTGCTACTATCTAATATTGACTCTCTACCGTCAGGTGAAGGAGCGATCAATTTTGTGGACTTCCTGCACGTGATGGCCAAACGTCAAAGTGACACGGAGAGAGAAGACGAACTGAGGGCAGCGTTTAGAGCTTTTGACGCCGACAACAACGGATATATTGAGTACCTACCTTACATTCGTACAGTTTAGTACTCTGGAAATAAATGTGCAAATGTGTGTTTTTGATGTTACTGCCTGCAACAGATGACATCCTAAAGGAATCCAATGTAATTTCAGGGCAGCAATGCAACATATTCTGGACTGGAAAATCTGTCATACATTGCCATTTCTTAGCACATTTTTGGCATCATTTCGTAAAATATCTGAAAAACAAGCCACGTGAGGTATTTTTCATACCATCAATTACATAGCTAGAACCAGCCTACGATATGGAACAAGCAACCGTGACACCCCATGTTCGCCTCACATGTATCAGTATAGCATGGTATGTGGTTAATTTAACTTACTACATTAAAGAATGACAAAAAACGGACTTTGAAATCCCAGTCTTACAGCCCTGAAATCACTTTGGGTGCCTATAGACGGACCCATCTCATATAAAGATGCATCGTGACTGTAGCTTTGACCCAGTTCCATCCAGGGATATGCCGTTTTGAAGACTCGATGATTTGACACTGTACATGATGAATATAATAATAAAACTATCGTTGGAGCATTGCGGGAAAACACCAACACGGTAATTTACTATTCCCGTCCCAAGTAAGTAAGGCAAAAGGGGATTGCCATGAGTCAATGCACTCGAAATTGATGTTTCGTGGAGATTTCCCACGTGTAGGGGACGATATTACTGTCGCTGACTAGGGCAAGTTTGATGAACGTTGGTGTCACCATGGATTTGAACTATTTTGATCACAAGAACGTTTCCATTATCAGTTAACTGAAAAACAAAAATCTAAATCTAACGTGGTGCCCCTGAAAGTTCATCTTGAAAGCTCATCTGTGAATGCGCATGGCAAAAGTTATTATGAAGCAAGTTTAAACAAGTACAAATTTATAAGAAATTATAATTACTCAAAAATTTTAAACGATGCCTCAAAGAGGACGGAGGAAGCCACAGACTTTCTGCACCATACGCTCCCAACTCACAACATGACGTCACAGAAGGGGTGGATTTCTCATTCCTTGATGAAGACTTGATTTGTACAGTCGAAAATTTAGGTAGTTCAAATTTCCCGTGTTAAAAATTACAGTTTAAAGTAGCTACATAATCGTAGTGATGCTAAAGATATTGAATTATACGTTATCAAGTTGAATGATTGTTTCTTTGCGATTATTTCAACAGTAAGACTGAACTGAGAAATGTGATGACAGACATTTGTGACGACATCACCAGAGAAGACATAGATGAAATGTTCCAGCACTTCGACAGAAATGGTGACGGTAGGATACCATATGAAGGTAATGAAAATGGCGTTAACATCAATCAATCTCATCTAACTACCCTGAACTAGACCCCATTTCAAGGCACGGTCCTCGAAGTCTGTATTTCCAAGAGCAGTGTCAATCAATCAATTAATGATTAAACAGTAATTAATACAGACGGAACAAAGAGAATAGTTGTAAAATAGTCGATGTTATCACAGCACACTTATCACAGTAACAATTTATTGGCATTGCCATATCATGATTTCGCTCTAGATGACATTTTCAGTACATTTTTGCCTCCTCTACAGAATTCATCTCATCGGTGATGGCGATGGAGAGGGAAGAGTTACAGCAAAAGAAATAGGACCATACGAACTTCTTTCAAAACTGTAAAAACTTTTAGGATATACTTGATATTCAAGCAGAGATACGAGAAGAGTACCGAAGCACTTTGCTCTAACATATTGGTTAAACACTGCACGAATCGTTGGACATACCAATGCGTGGTAGTAAATACCAGTACACATAATGGTAGTAAATAAAAGTCAAGTCTGGTAGTTTTGGACAAGGGTTGTAAATGATATGACTTAACCTTTTAAAAAGTAAACATTACCTGACTTGCATTTTATTAACTACCATTGTTTAACACAACATTTTGTGCAAGTCGTGCAAAAGCCACGACTAATCCAACATATATTGCCTATTATGCGATGAGTATAGCTTATACGCACTTAATACACTAAGAGCTGGATGATCTGAACGTTGGGGCCTTCGTGAATGTAAAAAGATTAAATTTTGAGAGGTACTCGTAACAAGTACATTGATTGAAAATTTTGCTGGATAATTTCAAACATATATCTACATTTGTGAAGTCATACTTGTACGTGGATCCATAAGTTACCTTACTGTTTATGAAATAGATAATTTTGCCACATATGCCATATGGCAATTGCTGAGATGCAAATCATCTGTCTTAAAATATAACATAACGAGTTGCTAAAGTTGAAACTATCAGGAAATCGTCTTACATCTACTAAGTACTAGAGGTTGTATATTATATGACAAATACAGTTTAATCTTAGAGATAAGGCAATGGATTTTTGTTTGAAAGTTTGTTGTTTTCTTTGGTCTGAATTGTGGAGTCATCTGTAGTCTGTTTTGTGCACAAGGTGAACTAACGCCTTTGACATAGACATATATACTTATCAAGTTACATTGCGAGGACGTAATATAATCCGACTAGACGTCATTGAATTACTGTAGCACATTAATAACAGCAACAATGATGTACGCAGGGTTAACATTACTGTTTGTTCCTTAATGTAATAAATAGCCATGACTACTAGCTACGATGTGGTTAAATGATAAACCAATTTGGAGAAGCGACGAGTTGACAGAGACGGCATTAAAGAAGGCATTAAACCGGTACGCACGGCTAAGGAACGAACTACGGCTTTCAGGCGACACCCGCCATCTTTCTTCAGCTGCTGAGGATAGTCACGTGACCAGGAGGTCAGGGGTCAACAATGGTCACGTGACTGGGCCCCTTTGGGATGAAGACATGAGAACGATGTTTCAGCAGTTCACGCCTAACATCATGTCAGAAAAAAGACAATTTGTTAACTTTCCCTATACCATCTAAAACATGTATTTATCAGTAGTAACTGTGCCTTTTTCATATCATCATCACACTTTCGGTGGAAAAGAAGAAGTCAAATAAAAGTTTACTTGTCAAAAAGTGCATCATGCACAATGTATAGATTTCATTAAAAAACACTACCGCATGATGGGATGATGAACACTGTTTCAAATCATGTCTTTCGGCATGTTCCAAGTGTACGCAGGGGGGGGGGGGGTGGTTATTGCCAGCAAACAAATCAAAGAGTACGTGCCCCACAAAGCGGAACTTCCTGGTGCTGCATGGATCACACAAACTACTACATGCCAGTCTGTTCTCAGTTGTACTGAGGGCAAAGCATATTACCAGACAATGCTTTTTACAATGGAAGGGAATAGACGGGGTGGCTCAACTCTTTCCCTACAATTTCTTGCAATGACATTGTATTCGAAATGATTGGGTAAGTCACTACATCTTGTATTGAATTTAGAATGAATTGGTAAGTCATAGCGTTCATAAACTGGCTCTTTTAATATAAGGTCTACAATCTCTACATTCATACAAGTTTAATGGAAAAGCTCGACTTTTTAAAGAAACTACAGACTCGCCTTAAACTTTTCATGACTCAACTGCTTCTCTATTTTCTTGTGTGGGATTTGAACTGGTTGGTAGATCAGAGATAGCGTACATTAATGACTTTGAAAAGATGAGGGAACTAAACCTACATACAAACAGGTTTAACAGAAAAGCACTTTGAATCCTATGAGAACCTGGCAATCGATAAGCTACAGAAGAAAGCAATTATCGTAAAAGTTAAGCACTGCTGCGGTAGCCTACGCAGGTTCTCTGAGCAAAGTTTCAAACTTACCAGTACCGATAGCCTACAACAACCGACACAAGGGCCATAAGGAGACTTGTCTAATGTTGAAGAAAAGGGTAGAGTTTGATAAGATCTCAAGGGAACGTATGTTGACGTCAGGATGACGTCTTTGCGTGGTAAAAGAAGAAGGAAGGCGTATATCTGTCTCTTTTCATCTGCTTTGGATTGCCGAACCACTCAGGCGTAGCCCCGGGCTGACACTGACTAAAGCCTCTGTCGCACATTTAGAACCTTCCCCCGAACAACAGGTGACTAAGATTGACTAAAGGTCGGTAGCAGTCTGACCTTTCTATACAAATCATAGCGAAGTTGAGTTAAATTTTTAGTCAAACCTACTTCAGCCAGCCATGCCAACCTCTAGCCAACCATGGCCCAAACTCCCGTCCTCTGCATAATGATTTAAACATTTTACACGCGTACAGCCGGACAATAGCCTTCCTGGCCGCACACCAGTCAACCACAGTCGGCCTTCCATCCGACCTGCTCGCTCCTAACCATGGTTGGGGTAGGGGATGGGGGGTGGTGGTTCTGTTAGTATTGGGTTATACACTATTATACATAAGGCGCTACCACTGTTATAACACGAAACGGCTCTACGCCACTTTATCGTGTTTTTGATATTTGCTATACAGTCAAGGAATATCAAGTCATCATATGTCCATATTTTATATTATTTGCACATGTGAGTGATTTCCACAATATCGTGTTGATAAGCGCACATATGATAAATGTACATGGTATATGGTATACAAATGGTAATCTTTACAGAACAGTCATATCTACATCATTCATTATCACACAGCCATATACATATCTATTCGAATAGGCCTACATGTGATTACTAGGGGAGCAACGTTCCTTTCGCTTTAAAAAATTACATCTTTAAGTACTTAAAGCACGCGTAAAGATGTATCCGAGCGGAGAGAATAGCCTTTGCCCACAATTTAAAGTGTCCGTATAGAGTGGATTTTTACAGTGTTTGATTGCCGTTTCTGCACATAAATTAAATCTTCAGGATTCTTCCAAATTGATCTTTATTGCGATGTTTGTATATTTATTGTCTGTTGCTCCAAATTCCATCTCTGTCACATTTGAACAAATATTGTTCCTATAGAAGGACGCCGTGATTGTGAGGAAGCTATCAGACTGTATCACTGCACGAAAAGTTGGATTTACTAAAGGTAGTAAACTCATGTAATGTTTACTTTGTATGTAGTATCTGGCTCTACAATGGTAAATAAAAGTCTAGTCAGGTCATTTCATTTACAACCCTCGTTAGGTCCGGAATTACCGTACTTGACTTTTATTTACTACCATTGTAAAGTCCAGTAGTACTAGTGTTTACTAAAAAAAAACAAAGTGAACATTACCCAACTTTAACTGGTATTTACTGCCATTGCTAAATCTACGTTTTTGTGCAGTGTATTGCCCTCGTTGATTGTTACTCGCGATGCGGTAAGCGACGAAGCTTACTAAGGCTGTCCATCTTTTTCCTTCTCCGCTGCCATGACGACGCTAATGAACTCTGAAAGAGATAAGAAACACATGTGAAAGAGCACGTCACCGTCACCGCATGTATCTGCCACGTGTCCAATTCATTTCGCTTCTGGTGAATGTATCAGTAGGATTATGAGGATTACAGTAGTCTGGCGTCTCCTGGAGGCAATAACAATACTCCCTGAATCCCCTGCCATGCTGAGGTCACATTTCCAAGCCGGGGCCCGACCGAGCTGTTTACGTCAACGAAAAAAAGTCATATCAAGAACAAGCACAGAAAGTGCTCATGATCAAATGTTGCAAATCACTTCTGCTTTGTTGTCTTTAATTTCATACTTTTCATGAATTCACAACCTTTCCCCGACAACAAACCAACCAAGGTTATTTCAAGTTCGGGAACAGTCTGGCCAGATATAAGAGGCCATGCCTACTTCTAATACGAATTGAATCGAATTCGAGTAAATTTATAGTCTCCACCAGACTCCTTTTCAAGCTGAATAAATAGTAGAAATTGACATGAAAAGAAAGTAGCTGGCCAGGGGAGTTGGCCGGCGAAAGAGGGTCCAGTAACTAGTAAGTTTTGGTCAAATTTGAATTCAGAACAGGACCTATTTATTTCTGAAAAATCTCCACCTATCCAAAAAACGTAGATTTGCACCATTCAAGGTTCTGGACTACCCAGAACAGTACTTGAACACGGTTCTGAGAAAAAAAATGTTTTTGATACAACAGCTGCATGTTTGGTTTCCATAGATCATAGCAAACCACCCGCGGGTACCCACCTTCGTATGAAATCATGCCGTCACCGTCTTTGTCAAAGTGGTAAAACATCTCGTCTATGTCTTCATTGGTGATGTCATCACAAAGGTCTGTCATCACCTTCCTCAGTTCCTTTGTGCTAGAAGGCAAAAACAGTACGAACGTTTAATGGAATGAAACTGATGTACAACGTATAGCTAGTATACTGTAGAAAGGATATATCCCTTAAACAAACAAGCATCTAATCTTCAAGAAGATCGTTCGGTGGCCGCAAAGACAGTATCAAATGGGTCAGGTAGTATTCATATGCCAGGCAGTATCCGTTTGCCACCCGGGCCTATTTGACATTGTCTTTGAGGCCACAGAAATATCCGCTTGGAGATCTTATAACCAGCATCTAACACACCACAGAGGTCTCTCAGTACGTCATCTGAAGCTAGACGAAATAGTTTCTGCTTAAAACTAGTATTCGGCCTGTCACAAGGCAAGGAACTATGCGGCCCCATGATGTCTTACTGATGGTCGACTGCGGTGTGCTAGATGTCGGTTAGCTTTAGGAATAAATCCATTCTACATTGCAAATGTACAATTGCTCTACCAATCTTCTACCAGTGATGAAAGCTAGCACAACATATTTATGTGAAAATATATAGCAGAAGCGAGAATCAGTCATGACCAGTAATCAAAAGGAATCTGGTTACTCGATGATGCCGTTATGGTCCATGTCAAACGCCCTGAAGGCAGCTCGTAGCTCCTCTTCCTGCTCCGTGTCCTTTTGCCGTTTCGCCATTACTGTCAGGAAGTCAGGGAAGTCGATAGTTCCTTCCCCTGTATAATAGACAAAAGGATGCGGGGTCCATTATTACCCCCAGGGAATGAAATATCCTTCTGCAGGAAGGTTATGTTTTCGGTCTGTCTGAGTGTTTGCAGCTGTAATTCACGGAGAGGTTGACTAATCTACTGTAATTCCTTATTTTTTCACTGTACTGTTATGTTCAGTGTTTTCTCTGTCACTTCTGTACCGTGAACTTATCATTACAGTTATCAAATGATTCATGGACTTTCTGAAGATGTCCATTTTTCTCTGACCGTTAAATTTTGCCACCGTGAACATAAAGTGAATTACATTAAATTAAATTAATTTCATTTTCAGTATAAGACAAATTATTGGGATCCAGCTGATGTGGTTTGCATCTCTTTTCTTAATAAATTTATTCCAAGTATTGAAATATAATTATCTAAATGTTCAAATAATAACTACAAAATAGACTATATATGTGATTATTGTGTCATATAATTATAATCAATAATACGTCATGCAGTGGACATCTTGTACATGACATTGACCAGAAAAAAATAAAGTTTATAACAGACATGAGATGATTCCTCACCGTCAGGATCCACGTCTTGGAGAATCTTCTCCATCTCACTCTCGGTCGGGTTCTGTCCCAGAGACCACATCACTTTGAACAGCTCCTTGATGGCGATGATACCATCACCGTCCTTGTCGTACACACTAAAGGCTTCTCGAAACTCTGACAAAGAAAGAAAGAAACAAACAAACAAACAAGCAGACACAGTTTCAGCAATAGTCGACTGTACTGTATCCTTTTGTACATGAAATTGCATTTGATGCCTTAGATTCATTTCTGTTCATTTCCAAACTAGACATATGGTTGTCGTAAAAACCGAATCACCAATACATGCAGGTCATCCATTTGAGTACACAAAAAAGCACAGAGGGAATCAAATACTTAATGTTTACTTACCTATAATTTGTTGTTCACTCAACTTGTCAGCCTGGAATGTGATAAGAAAAAAAATGTTTAGTGGAAGCATGGGTCGGAATTTAATCTTTCCGGCATTATGGTATCCCTTTGGGAGCAACAAAGGGTCAGAGAAGTCGAGGAAGATCTAGGATTAACTCCCTGACAATCTCAGATATGATACTAACCTGGCAAAAGTAAAGGGAATCCAGTCTCTGATGGAGGATAGATTGTAGTGGAGGATGCTTACACATACGTTACGCTTTCTAATTTGTGATATTATTGAATATTTATGCTTATACTTTGTCATTATGCATAATTACTTGAGATCTGACTGATTCCTTATTAGTTTATTTGATTGTTTTTACTTTATGAATTAGTTAGTCAGCTAATAGTTCGTCGTGCTAGCTCTTGCCTGTCTATTTTGATTTATTCTCTTTTTCGTTTCTCATGTATTTTCTTCTCATGTATCAACTGGTAGCCCCTCGATAACCCCCTAGGTTTCGTTAGTTGTCCCGCACATTCGTTGTATATAATGTTTTACACATTAATGTGTTTTAAATGCAAACCGACAATAACCAATAAACAAAGTAAATACATTACAGCAAATGAATACCTAAATATCAAGTGCAACTTGCCATTATTTGGGAGGTCCGGTTCAGGTGCGAAATGTAGTACAAATGTGTATGGTTGATGAACGCTGCGTATCAGCACCTACTGCAAGACAAGATAACAGTAATCCCACCATTAGGCCACACCAATTCAATCAATCGGTTATCGGATTCATGCACTTCATCTTATTTCCTGATTTCCAAAAAAAAAATCCCAACCCAAAATCTTCATACTTGGCCCAAAATGAAAAATATTTTCCGTCGAGGTTACAGTCTTTGCATCTATCACTGCAGCTGTTTGATTCAATGTTTAATGTTGGAAAAATTTTGAATCACGAACCAGCCCGGTATGTTGACTTCGTGGCTCCTTTTGTAGCATTTTTGGCTATACCGAAGCCTGTTTTAGCCTTATTTTTTTCTACAAAAATACGAAAACCAACTAATTAGATTTGTGTGACCTTAGGGAACAATCGATCAATTACTGGTACACTGTGGGTAGTTGTTACTGTAGTTGAAATTCGTAATTTCCGCTGTTTAGCAATTAGATTTATTCCGCGTCAACGGCATTTAGATGCACCTCGTTGTTTTCAAGGCGTCGGCTCTTCCGTGATCTATCTAACCTACTGTCTCTGTCTCCTATCTTGTCGTGGCATTTGATGTATCGACTAATTATCTTCGCGAAGCTTTTTATAGGAGCTATCAATCAGAAGTCATTAGGCCTAACATGTAACAACATGCTCTCCCGCGGTTTGCTGTGCAGTAAGTAACACATGGAGACAATCCGTGATACCCTATTAAAGTTTTGTCACGGAATGCTTCCAGGTTGAATTAAGGCCACATCGATTTGATATTTTTTTTTTTTTTTTTTTCGAATTTAAAAGATAAAGAAATGTTTTATTTTTTAATTCCAACATTTCATGACTAGACTTCTTGCTCAAGTTATATCAACTTAATATTTTAATGGGGTTAGATAGATAAGAATCATAAGATATGAAGCGACAGTACAAACGGACTTAGAAAACCTTTAATAGCCCAAAATGCTACAATAGGAGCCATAAGGTCAAAACACCAGCGTGTCTTATGATTCAAATAATAATGTACTTTAAACTTTAAGTCAAACCACTGTATTGACAGAATATAAACAAAAATACTGTAAACAATACGAAGACAAGACTTTCTTTAACTGTTGGGGGCAAAGTATGAGGATTTGGAAGTTGGATTTTGGAAATTCTGTTTGCAAATCAGAAAAAAAGGCAAAGCTAGCTTATCTGAGAACAAGTTAATTGAATTGGTGTGGCCTAGCACATACGTGTGAGCTAATGCCCCCCTTGGGATAGCATCAATCATCAAGCACAAATCTCCTCTATTAATTCCTTGTTACCCATACACGAGAAATCACTTTTCATTAATGGTGCGAAAATACATTTGATTTGGTTGGCATTCAACCCCCAACGACAAGCATTAAAGTTTCTTTCTGCTTGTAAGTTAAATTCATATATAGTTCTCCATTTTACATTATTAATTTCGTTTATTTATTAATTAATTATTATATTTATTTACATTTGTATGTGGATTAACAAAATCTATTGATTATTTATTTATTCTCAATTTTAGGTAATGAATTTTATTTTACTTATTTCTTTATTGTTTATTTCAAGCATAGAGACCCAAATAGTTACATAGTTAAAGGCAAGTAAAGAAACATACAAAGCTAAATACATAATTAGATGACGAAAAAATAAACTGGTAATATTAGCCTGCACTGCCGTCCTTAGGATCCTATCATCACCCTTGTGGGCAATCGTTCTTCAGCAGCAATGCCTGGGCTTAATGTAAATGAGAGCGGCAGAAAACCCAGAGGAGACCTTTTACTTCAGCGATAGTAATTTGACTGAGACCTCTGACCTGGCAATGGCCTAGGGCGATACTTACACAGCTGACATCTTTCACCCGCGGATGAATCGGGAAGATGCTGCGATGCTACGTCGGGCTAACATCTGTCAGATTACCGAGCCCCTGGAGGGATGTGTATTTTCTAGGCTTGTAATGTGGCCATGATGGACAAGGTTATTACACAGTATGGAGACCTACACGCGGTACTTTGTAAGACCCGCATATATAGTCCTCAGGCTAAGGGATCATTTCAGAGTTCTTTATACCGCAATTTGGGAACAGTAATGCTGGTCTTGCTGCTTGAATCATTGCAGATGGAATGAGAATGAAACTGTCGGAGTCTTACATTTAGGTTATGAAAGGGTGTGAGGATATGCCTAGTGTCACTGCAAACAATTTTCAGTCAAAAGTAAAAAAAAAATTGAGGCATCAAATGCAATGTCAGGTTGGCAAAACGAAAATATTTTGGATGAGGACATCTGTCTGATATTGACATAAATTTTACTGCCGTTTCTTAACACATTTTCTTTTTCATTTCTCACCTAAAGCGTTTATAAAGAAAACCCAAGCCAGCTACCTAAGGCGCCTCGTTATTTTTATGTACCAACCATGAATTGCTGGAAGCAGCGTACAATACAAAACAAGCAACGGTCTTCCATCAGCGACATCGCATTTTCAACAGATATACGTATTGTATGGGAAAGGATTGATTCAACTGACTATGTTGAAAGAATGGCCCCAAAATTGGCCATGAAAAATCCAGTTTTGTTGCATTTATCCTCTTCTATAAGGAACCTCTTTCTAAAAGAGAAAAGAGTTTCTATGGTGAACGTTGTCTATTTGCAATTATATTACTACTACCTACTAGCTTTCTAGTGCTGACATTGACAGGAGCCTCCTGTCTTCTAATCTGATTAAGCTTCACGGTGCATGCCGTGCAGAAATATTGCTGGGGTCAAAGCCGGTTATTCCCTTGAGTGAGAAACATTCTGAGCCAACCGCGTGTCCTAATTGGAATTTATATGTTTCTTAACACTTGGATGAGCTCGCTCCTGCCTCCACTAGATGTATAGATAGGTACCTACTCAGCAAATACTTGTAGTAACACAAGTAGCAAAGCAAACTGTACTGTAGCTTCAATTTATGTTAAACCACCAGTCTTTTCAATAAGCTACATGTACATGACCCTGCTTGCATTATGTATAGATATTTACTTACTCAGCTCTACATGTAATAACGTAAGTGGCAAATTGAATTCTGCTAGAGCTTCCATTCATGGACAGTGATCAGTAAAATCACCATATTTTAACAGAATAACAGTGGTATATCTCTTCAGATGAAAAAAAATGTTTCAAAACCATTTACTATAGAAAAGGCCTAAGCTGATCTATGTGTGTTTTGCAGCAAGTCAGCAGGTTTTGTTTGCCATTAAAATGTTATAAATATGTCACATAATACAAGACAGTTCTCGTACCAAATAAAAATAGTTCTTCGTTAAGCACTTTAAAAAAGAGACAATATTGTTTATGAATTGTACACACTTACCATAGCCTCCTAGTTAGCATAATCCACAGTGCCAGTCCCACTGCAAGATAGCAAACGCTTCTTCTAAACACTGAAAACCAAAATACGTTTGGTTAATATTAAACACCTGACGATGTTTTTCTTGCCCCAGTTCTACTCCTGATGCTACAGGGACTACAGGTACATTAAACACACGTTATCTTCAGTAAAGCTCGCGGCTTTCTGGCGTCACTTCTTCATCCGGTTGATTCACTCAATCTCCTCGCTCTGTGATTGGCTCACGTCTTTGAATTCCAGGAACAATACACAGGACCCGTAGGCCAGGTCCATCTTCTGTTATCCCCACGTGATCCATTGATACACACGGGTCGGCATCATCTATGGTTATCGCACATCTAACGGGTTACGTTTGGGGACTCTCCAAAGTTGATTCCCGGTTATTTGTCAAAGAGGGAAACGTCGTAATTCTTCATTGAGCTCGTGAATATTTTATAGCTTACAGTAGTTCATGTGTACAGGACGGATGCAGGCATCGATACTGATTAGAGAAATTAATTGTTGCAGGTATCAAATGATTTTCCAAAGGGTGCGGCATGAAATTCAGCGATGACCTAACACCCCCCTCCCCACCCTTGGGAGTTTGCTAGAGAGAAATTGGGAGAGGGGTCATCATTATGTTTTCAGTTTTGTCAATTTCTTTATGCTTCCCCTAAACTTCATTATATTACTGATATAATGTACATTGAATTTTTCCATATTTTTAACAGATTTTTGGTATGCTTCGTCTCCTAAACAAACTCATATAGCTGTAGAAGCTACTCATAGATCCCTCAACGATTTAAATAATGATATAAAAATGAATGGTATCTGCTTAAAGTTCATTTTCAAACAAATTTATTTGTTTGATAGTGATGATTTTTAACTTTATGACGAATTGTATGTGGTTCTGATCTTGTAGACGAGTAGAAAAATCACAAAGCAGATAGATAGAATAATGTTCCGATTTTGTCACAGATGCACACGCTGCCACCTACTCCAAAAGAATATACAAAAGGCTCAATACGATTACTGCAGTAATAGAAGTTCGATCATCTTATGCTGCGTAAATTCGCCATCCCAAAACCGCTTTCACTCATCCTGGGTTCAAAATTATGTCGATTTCCTTTTGGAGATTACTTGCGAAATGTGTATAAAATCTAATTTTGAGGACAAGGTAGGCAAATAATAGATTATTTCAATACCATCACAACGAAACTCTATCACGTTAATGGTACGTTTGGCAAGTGATTCTATTCTAGAGAACGTATGAATTGAATGTGGTTTGTCACAATGATAACTGAAGAGAAGTTAAAGCCCCTGCAGCTGTCACACATAGCCGAGTATGACCCGAATACTCCCCCAACCAAGGTCGTGAGGAAGGTCGGCTGATGTTCGGCTGCGCTAGCCGAATGTTACAACTGTTCAAAACTGTGGATAAAGTAAGAATCTTGGACACAAAATCGGACTTAATAGAAAGTTTATTGTAAATCCATGCCCGAGGGCTAATTGCAAGAACATGATAACAATAAACAGTAAAAATGAAAATAAGTAACGCTAATGCTACTTTAGATATCCATTGGTAGTTATTGTTGGGTTTGATTTCTCTTCCGTGTGCAGTGGAGTATGAAATGGCCGACATTTTGCGAGATATATGAATTGGGAGGTGTTAAAAGAAATGCAGTTTGCAAGAGGGATTAAAGAGATTAAACATCGCTCAACAGAGGCGGGGGGCGCCACAGACTTACTTTTAGCAACGTCTGATCCGCTGCTCATGGAGTCACGTGTGTTGCTGCGTCACGGAAGACGTGGATTGCTCATTCCTTGGAAAAGACTGGAGTTGTACATTCGAAAATTTGTCCAATGTCTTGTTTTGGATATTGCAGTTCAAATTTGTTTTATAACTGTTCAAAACATTAAGGTGTGGACGGGACGTTCCGCCATGGTTGCCTAGTGGATGTCGTCTGGTGTTCGGGTGTAATTTGGGGCGCGGTAGGCAGTCAAATTAGATTTAAATTTTAACTTTCCATTGACATCCTCTCAAAAACGCAGGAAATTCCATTTCACGAAGCCCCCCCCCCCACCGACCCCCCCCCCCCCCCCTACGGAGCCTTCGGCGCTCGCTGGTCCGTCAGACATTAAGAAGAACCCCCCTCCCTATTCAAAATCCTGGCTACGGGCATGTGACGTCCTTTGACTTTGTGAATTTAGAGGTTATCTTAGAGTCAGGTTAAAGGACAGTCTTATCACTGTATCGCTGAAACCTGCATAACAGCTGTTTATCGCCAAAGTCTCAAGAGCAGACGATGAAGTTCAAGGTAGCTTACGCTAGGAATAGAACATGTAGTCAAAAACCTATTGCAATAAATAAAGATCTCTTTGGAAAGACGTTACAGTCCAAATGAGCCAATTTCCTGTCGACCTACTTCAAACATAGAAGGAAATACTAAATCATCTTCAGGAATCTTACGCCCCTGTCACACAGAGCCGAATATGGAAAAACTGCAGAGCCCTCTCCAACCATGGTCGGGAGTAGGTCGGAAGCAAGGTCGTCTGTGGTCGGCTGTTATTCGGCCAGGTCGGCTACTGTTTGGCTGCGCCAGCCGAATGTTTCAAATGTTTCAAATATTAGGTTGTGGACGAGAGATTCCGTAGTTAGTGAGTGGCTGGTTAGTGTAGAGAGTAGATGGGGTCATAGTTGGCATTCACATCTGAATCAAATTTAACTCGAATTCCATTTGATTCGAAAGGCAAGCATGGCCCAAATATGGTCGGAATGCTCCCAATCTTGGTCTTGGCGTTGGTGTTTGAGGGAAGGGTTTAAATGAATGAAAGGGGCATTGCTTTCTTGTTCAAAAACTATTATTCATCTTTCAGACAATAAACGTCAAAAAGACATAACTGCCTAACACATTATACTTTCATAAAAACAAAAGGTCACCGACCTCTAATGTTAACCGTGCGTATAACATTTTGTGGTTCAGTTTGATATGAGTTCGCCGTGTGTACATTATTAGATAGGATATGATAAATGACCAGTGTGTCTCGGCGGTCTGTCCAGGTTGTTTGGAAGTAATTACCATGCATCTCTAACATTCAATCTAGCCATAGCGGCGCCTCCGATAAGCTTCATGTATAGCCAAGCCACGGGAAGCAACATGCTATATGTACTGTAGGGAGCGGTGTATGCCAGCGACTGTCTTTCTGTCTAAAATCAAAGAACCCATTATAGAAAAAGTTGGTAAATTCGTCTACCATTGCCTCAAAAGAAGTCAAACCCGATAAAACTAGTACCATGTATGTTGTAGAATGTAGTATAATGTCAGACGTAGTCTTTGATACCAATGCATTTCCTTTTTTCATACATGTTGTTTGTATCTGCAATTAGCCTTTTGTCATTGGACGGAATTTTGATGCTTATGAAATATAAAACGTTTGCCCAATCTGTCATGTTTGACACATAAGAATCGGTGTGTGAAGACAGAAAGAGATGTCATCAAACAAAGCTTAGTCAGCCAGCAAAATTTGCCCCTCAAAATGCAGGAAATAGCGTTTCAGAGGGTCAAGATTTTAAAAGTTTCCCCGATCCCCCTGGGATTGCCGTGCCTTCAGCGCTCGACATGATGTTACCTCAAACAAACTTAAACCTTGAGTGTGGACATCAGCAATGGGAACATCAAACAACATTTAGAGAAAAGGAAAAACAATCAGGCTAGCTAGAACACTGGTTTGGAGTGAGTAATGCACGGAGATGTAGTGTAACAGTTATTGATTAAAACAAATCGTGCTATGGAATTAGATTCCCTGTTTAGGTATTGTTAGATTTATTACCTGCCATGTTTTTGTCGGAAGCACTCTGTACATGTCGAAACTACAACGCATGATAAGCCTTGTTTTGGGAGCATGGTGTGGTGATCATGAGCTACAAAACATGTTTTTTTTCATTAAGGCCATGTTGATTTGATTATATGAATGACATCAACTGGGAATCCCAAAACTGATGCGAGCGCGCGAATAAAAAAAAAAAGTTTTGCAAAAAAAAAGTTGCTTTCATGAAATCTACGTTGTTATGAAGGTCGAACAAATGACAGAGTATGGTATGGCGGAAAAATCTACTCTTTAAATTCATTTCTTTGCATTTTAGTTTTTTGTTTGATTTTGGCATTCTACGACGTTGGAATCGTTTTCAAATATTTTTTTTGCAACTTTCGGTATATATTTGCTCATTTTGCAACTGTTTTGTACAATTTACAGTGTGGTTGTAAACGGCCGAAAATTCATGCGCGCGCGGATGTCATCCATATAATCAAATCAACATGGCCTAAATCATAAACAAGACTGAATCCTCAATAAATTAATTAAAGACTTTGCGGTGTAGCTAAGGTGTTTTATACATTCTTAAAGTCACAGCAAGTTTCACCTCGTGCGTGTTGATCTGTGCCGGTGCCACAAATTAAGGTGGATGTGCTGTTTTAGTGCGAACCATAATGATTTCAGAAATATGTGATGATTGCACACGTCTGTTGAAAGGTAGAAGTAAATTACACTCACACAAATATTTAGTATGAAACTATTTAATTTGAAAAATGATACATAATGCCTCATAAAGTTAGGTACATGATGCCCCATAAAGTTAGGTATAGTCTTCTGAAACAATGGTCCTACAGAATCCCAGATGTAGTTTGGCAGCCAACCAGATATGCTCGGGTTTGGGGACAGTATAATGCAGTAACTTAAAACATTGCCTTAAGCTACGTATACGCAGCCTCTTCGAGCTTTATAGGTTAGTAAAAATAAGTCTTAGCGAGGAGGCAATACCTTTAAAGATGAATATCTTCAAAGATACTAGGATTTATGTCTAAATTCTACAGCCTCGTGCCTTCAAAAGACATTAGCTAACTTCAAAATGTTGGTCAGGAAATGGAGTATCGACCGGAAAGTCGTCCAAAAGATTGCTATCATTGTAACTTACGCCCGTTGTCATTGAGATCATAGTTTGGGCGCCCATTTTACTTGAGATATCCTAAGGGAATTCCTA